TCAGTGGGGCACTGGGGAAGGGGCTTCCCACCCTCACACACAGCCCACGGGGAGCAACACGGCTCAGCCTGGGCCCCAGCACACCACATGGGCCAGCTGCTCAGCCCCGGCTCTGCGGAGCAGGTCCAGCCCTGCCCTCTCCCAAGCAGCAGGTAGCCCCAGGGACGCAGGCGTGCGCCTCTCCCATCTCCCTCCCCCAACAGGAAGCTGGAGCTAATGCTCCCACCTGCAGCTGTGCGGCTGAGGCTGGAGAGTGGCAGGGCTCAGCCTGGGCCCCAGCACACCACATGGGCCAGCTGCTCAGCCCCGGCTCTGCGGAGCAGGTCCAGCCCTGCCCTCTCCCAAGCAGCAGGTAGCCCCAGGGACGCAGGCGTGCGCCTCTCCCATCTCCCTCCCCCAACAGGAAGCTGGAGCTAATGCTCCCACCTGCAGCTGTGCGGCTGAGGCTGGAGAGTGGCAGGGCTGAGCCCCTGCCCTGTGTGCCAGTAAAAATTGGTTCGTGTGCCGGGGGTTGCCAACCCCTGGTCTAGATGGACTTTTGGTCTGACTCAGTACGGCCGTTCTTATATTCTTAAAAACAACAAGGAGTCCTGTGGCACCTGAAAGACTAACCGATTTATATGGGAATCAGCTTTCCGAGTAGTTTTTACCCGCCAAAGCTGCTGCCCAAATAAATCGGTTAGTCTTTCAGGTGCCACAGGATGCCTCGTTGTTTTTGCAGGCACAGACTAACACAGCTCCCCCTCTGAGACTCATGTTCTTAATTAAAGAAGGAGCGGTGCTTTGGGGTTTCCTAACACGCGTGCTTCACTTTGCAATAGCATCTTTGGTATTTGCAGCATTTTCCATTTCGTCATTCCTACTCACTTGCCGTAGGGAATGGTGCAAGTCTGGCAGTGGCATTTGGTTATCTAAGGCAATTGGGAAGGTGAACTGTGTGCTCATGTTTAATACATAACCATGCACAGACTGTGTAACATAAAACTTAATGGGTCTGTATTTTCCCTTTAAAACTGATGCCTTTACTAGACATTGACACCTTTTTTGTGACATTTTTTGGTGCATTCCTCCTTTGATGTCTGAAAAACTTTTTTTCTTGCAGTTATTTCAATGAGAATCAATATCCTGACGAGGCAAAGAGAGAAGAAATTGCCAATGCCTGTAATGCAGTTATACAAAAGCCAGGTAAGGATCTGATCATAGTGTTCTTTCCGAAGAAGCCTGCAATTAGATTTCAGCATCTACTGCTAAAATCAGCAAATCTCATTTTATGGCTGTTACTAACCATTTAGTGCTCTCCTCCAGTCGTAAGGTTTTTCCTAGAGCTATAGGGTTTGTGTCATTCAAACAGCCATACTTGGATGTACATGAGTGCTAATGTCGTTTTCAGACCCAAACGCTTAGAATCATAGGGCTGGAAGAGACCTCAAGAGGTCATTGAGTCCACCCCCCTGCCCAAAGCAGGACCATGTATGCCTGAAAGTTAAATTTCTACTAACTAAAGTAGGAAGTACAGTGCTAAATGTGAAATTCAGCAGCATAACATTTCATATGTTCCGGGTCATCTGGAGTATCCGTAGGAAACGGAAAAAATTTCAGAGATTTGCCATTCTTAAGGCCAATTATTTCTAGTTACTCTTACCAATATGTGCACTTCTTGTCTGAGAATCAAAAAGCCCTCTACAAAAGTGGGTATGTAGCATTATTATTGTTGTTACTAATCCTATTTTAAAGATGGAGAATTATAGGCACAATGAAGTTGACTGCCCTATGAACATGTGGCATATACTTGACAAGTAAGGAGTGCTGGACTTCTAATATCCTGACATAAGTGACAATTTTAGGGTTTATAACTAGTAGAGAGGCAGTCTAGTCTAGTGGACAGCACACTGGCCTGGGCCTCAGTAGACTGAGGTTCTAGTCCCAGCTGTGTAATTTACCTGCTGGGTAATGGTGGACAAAGCACGGTCCTGCTCTGTGCCTCAGTTTCCCCACCTGTAAAATTGAGATGATAGCAGCCCCTTTCTAAAGCTGATGAAAAGTGCTATATTATAAGTAATTATTATCACTACTAGATCTTCTCTGCCACTCTCATCTCTATGTTTACTAGCTTTTGATGCACCTCAGACACAGTAACCAAATTAGCCTCTCGTTGTCTTTTTGGAGCAAGAAAGTATTATCCCCATTTTACTGATGGAGAATTGAGGCACGGAGAAGAGAAGTGACTTGCCCAAGGTCTCTCTCACATTCTGTGGCAGAGCTCCTAGCTCTCAATACTGGGCTTAAATTGGAAGAGCAGCTTTACTCTATCAGTTTAAGACTGGGCCGGCTGTAGTTGCAAAGAAAAGCCCTGTATTTTATTTGTGAACTGTTCTAATGTTCTCTCATGCTCATTGCTCTATGTTTCTAGAGTTTATCACATGGCAGGGGTCCGCTGGTCTTAGATGCATCTGCCAAGTGCTATTCATATCTGTAAACCCCTGTAAACAGCCATGTATTCTCCTGTATATTGTCACAGGCAAAAAGTTGTCAGATTTGGAGCGAGTTACCTCCCTTAAAGTATACAACTGGTTTGCCAACAGAAGAAAGGAAATCAAGAGAAGAGCCAATATCGGTAATGTATCAGAGAACCTGCTCTCAGACATCCTGAAGGGCTTAAATAGATATACCAGCTCAAGGGACATGGAGAGAGTATAAGATTGAATTCTATTAATGCAAATGGCTAGAAAGCATTTTTAGTAAGTTAGAGCATTTTTTAAAATAAATCTTTCACCCTCTCAACATTTCTAAAATATCATTGGGGACTTTGCTTTACACATGTCAGTAGTAGGACAGGGAAAATGATTTAGTGAGCAGATGTCAGTGAAGGGCCTAATTTCTGTTTTAAGTCTGAATCTGATCAATGTAGAAAGATTTATATTTCCCTAATATCGAGTTCTTGGCCCCATCCCATTGGATATCCCAAAATGAAACAGGAGAAGCAGTAATTTCTGCTCGGGGGATAGGGGAAATTCTAAGCATACTGCGATTGAAACCTTGAAGTGCAGTTCCACACTGAAAAGTATCGGGGAGAAGGGAACGCAATCAAAAAGGGAGTCTGTGGGTTAGTTTCTTGCCTCTGTAATGGTATCTCAGATGTACTCATTTTACAAGTGGAAATGATGGTGTTTTTTCTTAGTGCCTGTAAGATCCCCTGTAAGATTCCACTGCGATCTAAAAGTCAAGATGGGTTCTTTCCCTCTCAAATACCAGCACTTATCCTGCAGGCCAAATTCGTCCTTCAGTTACGCATGTGCCTCCTTATTGCCTTCAATGGGTTTGCAGAGCCATACCAGATGGGAACATAGTAAACAATTCTGTTGATGATGCCTACGTGGGAATAGGATACAGCTCTCAAACTTAGCTGTGTTCATTCTGCAGACTAACAGCTTCCTGTGAAGAAAGTAGAAATTACTCTCAAAACACACTAGGAGCAGATCTGTCCAAGGGCTAAGTTGATGGGATAGAATCACACTCTATTGACATGATTCACAGGATTTATGAGCAGATATTATTTGTGTTCTTTGTTTATCATCTCCAGCAATAGAAGGCGGCTCCTTCACCCAAGGCTAATATCAAACCAAAGCATGACGATGATGTTAATTGACATTTATTTGATTTATAAAATAAAGTCTGACCCCTCAAAAAATCCTGATGAATGGAATTTGAGGAAATGATAGGAACACTGCTCAAGATGGAGAGTGTTCAGAGTTACCAAGAGGAGTGAGAAGCACAAGTCCCATAAAATAAAGTGGATTTGTGCTCTTAAATCTTGTAAGCTTGTAACCATTGCGTAGACCAGGGGTTTTCAAACCACGGATCATGACCCAGGACTGGGCGGTGGAATGTCGGGCGCTGGGTCTCGTTGCTGCAGGGGGATCAGGTGACCAGTGGGGGGGGCTAAGGCAGCTCCCTGCCCGTCCTGGCACTGCAGACTGCGCTGCGGCCCAGAAGCGGCCGGCAGCAGAACCAGCTCCTAGGTGGGGTGGGTAGAAGAGTGCGCAGGTCTCCGCGCACTGCCCCTGCCCTGAGCGCTAGCTCCGCTCTCCCATTGGCTGGGAGCCTGCTGCGGGCTGCTTCTGGGACGCAGCATGGTCTGCGGAGCCAGGAGAGGCCAGAAGCTCCCCACTGCACTACTGACTGGGAGCCATTCAAATTAAGCCTCCCCCCACAGTCAGAGCCCCCGCCTATGCCCCAAAGCTCTCAGCCTCACCCTGGAGCCTCCACCCTAGTCAAATTATGTTGGGTTGTGGGCCCCAACAATTTTCTTCAACTGGGACCGGGGCGAAAAATGTTTTAAAATCCCTGGCATAGACAAGGGAGAGTCTGTCCAGTATAAACTAGAGGGAGAAGAAGGGAGGTCTTACGGTTAGACATAAAGAAGATTGGAAACAATTTTGTGGGGCAACAGAAGGGAACACTTCACGCCAGCCCCAGATGGTGGAGAACTGAGCGGAGGAGGCCACGAATTGAGCATGCTCAGACCCCTCTCGTCACATGCCTAAAATACGGATCGTCTTTCATTACGGCCACGCATCAGATGATTTAGGGACCCATTTGCTTTTTTCGAAGAAGCAGCAATCCTGGAGAGCCATGGCATAGATGTACAGAGCCCAGGCGGCCACTCCAATAGTGACGACGTCGATGGGAATGACTATTCAGAGCAGGTAAGAACCGGAGCCGAGCGGCATGGGAGACCCCCACATGTGACATGTCAGCGTCACGGGGCTTGTACCTCTCACGAGTCAGACTTCCTCCTTTTTTTTTTTTTTTTTTTTAATGTAATTTTAATGGGGAAAGCGGAAGAGCACAGCTCCCCTATTGCATGTGTGAGAAACCGGTATTCACCCACATGGATTTATTGTCATACAACAGGACACTTGGCAAGTACGCAATGGGGAGGAGGAGGGAAGATGTTCAGAGGGAGGCAGAGAAGCAGAGAAGGTAGAAGAAGACAGGAGGATCTGCTCCAAACAAGCAAGTTACACCATTCACACCACACACAATGTTTGAAAAATGCTAGGACAGTGTTAACTCCAGCTATGCACCATGCCTAAATCAAGCTCTCCTTGTCTCTGGCACTGGTACAGTGGTTAACCTTCCAGAAAAGATGTACAGATCTTTAACCATGTGTTGGGCACCAACATGCTTCCCTGTGACATAAAGCACCCGTGTTCTTATCCCGGATCCCTTCCCCCTCTTCCCGTGGTGACTAATGAATTCACTTGAGGTCATTGGGCTTGCTGAAGAGTTCACTTAGATGGTTCTGCTTCCTTTGCTCCTTATGTTCATGCTGCTACACCCAGGGATCTGGGTTCTGTTGGGGTGTTCTTAATAGGCCATCCCTGGAAAGAAGTAGGAAACCTCATCTCTGTGTGGTTACGGGGAGCCCAGTATCCCGGAATAGCTACCCCATAGGCTCAACCCAAGTCCAGTGGACAGTGATAGGGTGAGAGGTGCTGGCATGTTTTTGCTCTGTATCCACCCTCTTTGGAACTGCTGCTGCTTCTTTGGTGGGAGATGAAGGTCCTTTTATAGACCATCCCTGGGAGTAATTGGTGGAGTTCTGCTCTGTATGGCTGTGCAAGGTGAGAATCTTCTCAACAACTGGTGTGATCTATTTTGAAACAGTGGCCAAGTGCAGTTATATAGACGAATTGATGGCTTAGCAGGTACAATGTTTAGAATTCCAAATAATTTCTTTCTTTCTGTAGGTTTGTATTATCCAACGTATTTTTGCAAAGAGAAACAATTTGCTTAATTGCATCCGAATTCTTTGTTCCGAGTCCTTAGACTTTGCACTTCTCAGTCATCTAGCCCAGGCTCCACTGTAAGGATAATTAGGCTTTCCAAGCTAAATGGATTACTGTGGGCAGCTGTCCTGGTGACCAGTGAACACCCATTCAGCCATTAAAACCATAACCTCTGTATTTCAGAGTAGCAATCAGACTCCAGAAAACTTTTAAAACAAAAAGTTTCTCTAACTACCATTAAAGTAAATAACATAAAGTTAACACAACTTGAGGGGGATATTTTTATACATTCGTGGCATGATCTAGTTCACTTAAATGACTTTCAGGGTCAGGCATTCAAAAGCATGGCTGTAAGTTCTGATGTGCATGCGGGGATTTGGAAAACTGGCCCCAGACTCATGGCAAATTAAGAGAATCTGTTAAACAACCTTAGGAGTTTACTGAAAACTGGCATTTCTGTCCCACCAGCAGTCACCTCCTGCCATCTTGATTTAGAAATGATGTTGTTGCAAATTCATCATCATGGGCCTGGTATAATAATGGCAAAATGACCTTTTTGTTCTATAACATGCTATAAAAATATTAATTCTCCCAAGACCTCTGTGAGGTAAGTAAGTATTTTTACCCCCATTTCAGAGAAAGGGAAGCTGACCCTTGGTTTGCTCAAGGTCCCAGGAGGAATTGGGTTTTAGATCTGGGATTAGAACTTAAATGTACCTAGTTGGATTTAGTGTGCAGGTGCTGGGTGAAATGAGTGGTCAGTGATGTACACGAGGTCCGAATAGATGATGTGGTGGTCCCTTCCGGCCTTGAACTCGACGACTATGACTTATGTAAGCAGTGGCTGAATGGGATGGCAATGTGTCCCTCTCTAGTGGTGGGTAGGCTAGCTAGAGATTAATGAGCCTGCTACAGCCTCGACTATCTGAAAAGTGTCTTTTCTCTCAGGCAGAAGAGATGCACGCATTAAGATCCAGGGGTCCCAGACTAGATCCATCACTGAATCAGGCCACCAAAGATGTCAGTGTTACACCTATAGTCATACCAGGCCCCCACTCAAATATAGGGGACTGTGTATACATGAAATGAACTTAAAGCATTTCAGTGCTGAGAAAACTCTTTTAACGCAGGCCTGTAGCAAGGCAGTTTCCCCATATTCTTGGTACTTCGCTGCAGCCACCCGTCCTGAACTACTCCACTGTTCTCCTGCTAACATGAAAAGGCTTCTGTTTAGTGTTTAGAAAAAAGACACAGGGAAAGATGGTGAGAGCTCCCGATCTGTTTGAGGTTGCAGGGCAGACAGCAGGATAAGCCCCAGTTTTTCAGCATGTAATTAAACGAGGTGTGGCATGTAGCAGGATAGCTGGCCCAACAGTGTGATCTGCTGTGAGGCCATTTCACCACCTTTTTTTAATCCAACTGGAACCTTTCCAGCAACGGGATTAGTGCTGAATTGGCTAGAGGTGTATCCCTCTAGAAAAGCAAACTTCAGCATGTATGTATCACTTTGATTTGACACTCAGTCCCTCTGACCTTATAATTGAATATATTCCTCACGGCACTCACATTTAGCCGGTTTCCCTATTGAAAAGAAACAGCAATCGCCACACTCTGCCTTGCCCGTTTCAATGAACCTGTGTTTGCCCAGTAAATGACATTTCCTTAAATGGAGTCCTTTATTTTTTTTCCCACCCACTACCCAGTGAGCAAAAGTGTAACTTAGGACCCTTAGTCCATTGCTTACTTTAAAAACGCTTTCACTCAGATGGAATGCTTACCGCCTAATTAACCGCGCTTCATCTTTTTCCTTTCTGCATACACAGGATGACAGCACTAGCCATAGTGACCACCAAGATCCCATTTCATTAGCCGTGGAAATGGCAGCCGTAAACCACACCATCTTGGCATTGGCCCGGCAAGGAACCAACGAAATCAAGACAGAGGCCATAGACGACGACTGATACAAAGAAGGGGGAGGGTCAAAACAAGAAGTAACTTAGTTTTAGAAGTAGCACCTTAGCAGACTTTCCTCGGTCCTTAATATGTGTTCTTCTTACAGTATAACTTTGCAGTTTCTTGTACGTCAGTTAGCTGTTAGGGTCTTGTTCTGTGAAGATGGCATGGTGCCCTCAGCCTTTGCATATACTCTCTCAGTATTAATTCCCAGTAAATAATCAGTCAACCAACCAACCTTCCTCTCCCAGCCCCAGTGGCTCGAAAATCTTGCTGCTCTGTCTTAGCATTCCAAGAAAGTGCTTCCAGGTATTTTAGAGAGCCCTCCGTTACAAGTCTTAGGCTACATTTAAAATCTTGGATACCCTTAGACATCACGTAAACCTAGTCTGTACGCTTTTCCTTCTCCAGACTGAAAGGATGGACGCTGAGGTAGGGGCACAGGGTCGGTGGACGCCATATTGGGAGTCTCAACAGAGAGTAAAAAGAACACTAGAAAACCCCACTTCAGCATGGGAATAAGTGATTTCCAGCTGCAATAAGCCGTGCCTCGCTGGTCACACAGTGACTTGAGAGACTTCTATTGGGTACTGCACTGAGAATGTCCATGGGAAACCTAGTCACACATTTCGGTTGATGCTCCCATATTCAACACAGATCTCCTCTCCTCTCACAAGCTGCATGGCTTGGTGGATTAAAATACTGCCTTCTGCCTCTGGGACCATGATAGAAGCCCAACCTGGGATCACATGAAAAATGAGCTGAAAGTCTAATGGACGGCAGTCCACTTCTCAAAACCACTAATCATTATTTGGCACCTCTAGCAGTGCCTGCTCTGAAGAGGTCTAGACTCTATCGCTCTATCATAGAAGTTGCGTTACCTTTTGTTCTTCCACTCACCTTCCCCCACCCCCCCTTTCTTCCCAGTCCCTCTCAAAAGCAATGTTTGCAAAGAAAAGATTAAGATAATAAATGGGTGAGTTTGTACAAGTCTGTTTAACTACTGCCTCCAATCCTAACAGGCCTGACAGGTTATCGAAGGACTTTGGTATCTAGTTTCTGCTAGTTATCAACGTGGCACAAATATTCACCCAAATATGAACACTTCTGAAAAGGCAGGAAGATCTCCTCCTTGAGATGTGGGGTGTAATGCTTTTGTGTTCTCTACTCTGTCCTTGTTAAGGTGTGAGAAAGCTATACTGCTACAGACAATTGAATTGATAATTGGAAGCCATATTGCTCATGGATGTGGGAACATTTGTAAAGCAAACCTACTTTAAGTAGCAGAAACTAACAGAATTGTTTTCTTTGATCATATGTAGCACTTTTGTTACTTTTTTCTTAAAGATATTTATATTTGATAAAATCTTTTTTTCATTTGAGAATTCCAAATACCAAACACCAAACTTGCATTACAGAGTCACCCCGGGGCCCCCTTACCATCTAGTATCTAAGTGATGAACTGTGTATGCATCTAAGAACATTACATCTGCTGGCATTGTGTGGAAGTGATCTCCTGGCATCCTGATAAAGTGATATGTCGCTGCCGGTAAGAGGAAACTGTTCAATGGAAGCAGCAGAGGATGCGTTAGAGACCAGCTAGGCTGCATTATATCGTCGGAAAAAATGATACATTTACGTAGCATTTCCACTGCACTCCACTTTATCCTCCCTGTTGTACGGAAATAAAGAGGGAAGGTGGCTTAGTTTGAAGCATGGCTTTCCTTTGTCTTTTGTTCATTTTTTAAAGGTGAAGGGAAGTAACCATGAATTGTTTTGTTTTTATTCCCTCCCTTCCACTCCGTACTGGGCATTGCGAGATGTTTGCAACTTGAAACCATCAGATAGAATTGCAGGCACTTAAAGAAAGAAAGAAAACAAGAGGAAATTGTGGCACCTCAGCAGGTTTGTAGCCAGCCTTAAACCCCTTAAGTAGACTAACTAGAAGAGACCATTTTTATGTCTGCTGATCTTATGAAAGCTGTTTAGGTAGGTGGGGGAGGGGGGGAGATTTCTGTGGTTACAGAGAGCAGAGAGTTGTCACCTTTGTCCCTGTGACTTTAAAGGTATATCGGCAGGGTTGAGCCCTGTCCTTCATTTATGGATTTCTTTGGGAAATGTATGTGCTTTCCTTAGCTGTAAATCACTGAAGCAGAGTAGGGCTGTCTTTTTCTGTTCTATTGTATTTCTTGAGTAGGCATATTCATGAATAGCATCAGGGTATACTCAGGAAAGAATTAAATTGATTCCGCCGCTGCTGCAGTGTTCTTGCTTGGTGGGCGTTTGAACCTTTCACTGCTAGTGAGCAAAGAGGTGGCAGGATGCATCGCACTGCAGGATGATCCAGCAAACTGTGTCTTCAGTGGGATTTTACCTGCTTATTCATCCCACAGCCTCATACCGCGCTGACAGGAAACCACCACAATTTATTGCAAGGTGATTTTCCGAAGCGTTGGTTGGCCCTTTATGTTGGCGTTTCCATGTGAAAAGGGTTGCTCCAAACTGATCGACAGCTGCACTTTCAAAAGAAACAGGGCGATTTTACCTTAAAAAAGTAATTGGAAACAAACAGCTGTTAAGAGACTTAAGGAAGAATAACGCCAGTACAGTAAAGGCCAGATCCTGATCACTGCTGCACTGGTTCTCCACTAAAAAGAATGGATTTACATCCGTGTAGGTGAGAGAATGTGGCCTTCACTCTGTCTAGCACAGCCTTACAGCTCCTGTGTCTCCTAACGGAATAAGCAGATGAACAACTTGTGTATCATTGGAGATCAGTGAGTCTTCTGTCCTTCTGGTGAGCAGCAGTCTTCCCTCCACCAGAGGAAGATCATAGGTAAGAAAGACCTTAGACTAGCCAGGTGCTACCCAGTTCTGTTTCTTTCATCTGTATTCTTTTTGGACCCTTTATGGGGCCCAGAAGACATGATCAAGGAATATGACCGGATAGCCATCCTCCATATGCTAAGCCTCTCTGTAGCCCGCTGTGGGCTGTTTCTTGATAGACACACCCTTGTTTTGGGGAAGGGTTGCTGGTTTAGGCTCTCATTAGACAACTTGGCTACAGTGTTGAGGGAAAGACACTTTGGAATGGTTTCTGCAGCCTTGTTGTTCAGGGTGAGGACAGAACTTGAGACAGCCCTGGAAATGTGGGCTTGTTCTGGGTCACTCCCTCAAGCTGAGCTAGTCCTTCAGAACTATTTCTAACTCTGCGTTTTCTCTTCAGATCTTTGTTATGGGCATTCCTACCTTCCTCACCTCCAGGCTCAGTTATTGAGCAGCCCTCTCACTTGGGTGCTGCTTGAAATCGGTCTAGAAGCTGAATTGGTTACAGAATGTAGCCACTGACTTAACTTGTTCCATAGATATAAGTGTAAAAAATCAGTGAGTCCTTTCTTCCAGGTTGCTGGTACATCAGCAAATTCAATCCCGCCTGTTACCTCATGGCTCATAATATTTTAGCCAACCTTTTTTGCCATCCGCCAGAGCAGGAGCAGTTGGCTGGGTTTTCCTTGCTATCTATTCCAAGATATTATTTGAGCTTGTTGGAGTGTGGTGCAGTACAGGACTCTGTCCGTGGAGTTCCCTTCTCTGAGGATGTTCCCCAGAGTTTTCCTCTGGATAGCGCCTCCCTCTGCATCACGCTTTTCTCCTCCAATCTGTTTACCGTTGGTTATTTCATTGCTTCCTGTTTCTTTAACTCCTCCCTTCTTTGTTTGTTTGTTTCTTTGGGTTTTTTTGCTTCATTTGGGAGGTGTCTTTTCCTGGATGTGTAAAGTATTCAGTTAAATTTTATACCGAGGTCCAGACATTTTGCACCAGATGCCTTAGATAATAAGTTAGCCCAGCAGCCAACAGACAGCGTGTTTCTTTGATGCCCTGGTGATGCAAAGACATCTTCTGGATCAGGGCTGGGGAACCGCAGGCCCAGGAGCCGGATGCAGCCCCCAGCTTGCCTTGATCCAGCCCCCAAGGCTCAGGGCCCCTCCCCCAGCACTGAGGAGCCTGCACTGGCCCTGCAGCCCACCACTCCCCCCCACTGTCCCACCCACAGGGCTGGAGCACATAAAATATAGGCTGGGCCCTCTATGCTGTGGTGTGAGGAAAATGTGGGAGTATCTTTCTCCTGCTGGTTTGGGGGCCATGGTGAGGGTTTTTTTTTTTTGTTTGTTTGTTTTTTTTTTGCTTCTCATCTGTGTGTGGCCCCTGGTTGATTTTTTTTTTATGTCGGTCAGTGGCCCCGACCCAAAAAGGTTTCCCATCCCTGTTCTAAATACTTGGAGGTGTTGCCACACAGTTTCATTGCTCCAATAAATGTGTTCTTACCACAAAGGACGTTTCTAACTTTGACCCATAAATGTTTGCCAGCGATGCTGTGTTGGACTAGTAGGATTATAGGCGGCATTGGTTTATGTTTTATTTTTACCTACTTAAATATTCTCCGATGGGCCTCCTCTTCAATGTCTGGCTCCAGCTTTCCATAACCATGGGATATTTGGATTCATTTGTTTCAGACCCACCTGTAATGTACATTTCAGTGGTGACCTATTGTGCTTATATGACTCTTCACTGAATTTCTCAGTGACTCTATTTTGTTCTATTGGCTATAGTGGAATTCAATTGGTCAGTGTTTTTAGAACACCCAGGCTATCTCTGTCGATGGTTGGACAGTTTTGGGAAGGGTTTCAAGTATACATTGACTGAGCTTTCTACCAACTCACTAGTGTGGCTGGAAATCTTTTAGGTTTGGCTTAGCGGTTGAGATTACCTAGAAGTATCACTTTCGTATGCCGGCTGGCAAGATTTTTGCTACTTTACTTCTCATGCATGTCCACACTGCAGTGTCACCCCAGAGTTCAAATTCAGGCTCGACCCTTGCTCGTCTTTCATCTATGCACAAATTGCTGTAACCCAGGGCTAGGACCCAGGACCAAAGTTCCCTCTAAGCTGTGCAGCAGCACGGCCCCGCAGCTGTTTAATGAGCCCTTCCCAGGGCCTCAGGGCTCTGCGCCTGGAGCTGCTTGGCTTGGAGAGGGGCACGTCTCCCTCAGCTACTGCAGCAGCACCCTGCTGAGGACAGAACAGCGAGTCTCTCCCTGCCCGTAGGGACACGTCCTGTCCTCAGCAAGGAGCTGCTGCTGTTGCTAAGGGAGATGTGCCCCTCCCCCAAGCCCTGAGCCCTTGGAAAAGGCTCATTAAGTGATAGTGGGTCTGAGCCTGAGTCAAGCTGGGATCAAGCCCTGGTACATTGTAAGGTAGCTGCAGTCCCATAGGACTCATGCTCCAAGAGCCTGACCAAAAATGTCCCACAATGCCACAGGGCAACTTTATTTGTCCTCAGGAAAGTCAGGTTTGGTGACCTGTCATGTTTTCCCTCCGTGCACCACACACCAAGGACTAGATTGGCCATACTCTGGGAGGGCAGCAGGAAGTCTGGTTGGACGTGAGTCCTCCTAATACAATGTAGATACTGAAGCAGCACATGATCAACTCCCATCCAAACTAATAGAAATCTTTTTGTCTTGCTGCCTTACAGGGACATCAACACGATTTCACTGATTCTCAGCTTCCCAGTTAAACATTAAAAACTCTTGTTTGATGTTGATGTGTTAATGATAGAAAAGTTCATCATGCTGGCTTCCCTCATGCAGTCTAATTAGTCTTGTCACACAGAGCTATCTGGCAGTCCCAGCAGGGTTCTGGTGGCTGGCTAGGGGACAGTCACAAACTTGTATAAATCTAGAGCTGAAAAGGACCTTTGGAGTACCTTGCCCCATATGGAGACAGTACCAACAATCCCAAAAGGGGGTTGTCTGACCTGTTTTTTAAAACCTCCATTGACTGAGATTCCCCAGCCTCCCTTGTTAACCTGTTACAGGACATAACTCTCCTGACAATTGTAAAGATTTTCCTAGCATCTAACCTAAATCTCCCGTGCTTCAGATTAAGCCCATTAATTGTCTTACCCTCAGTGGACATGGAAAAACAGCCCTTAACATACTGGGTATGTCTAGACTACATCCCTCTGTCGGCAGAGGGATGCAGATTAGGCAGATCGACATTGCAAATGAGGCAGGGATTTAAATATCCCGCGCCTAATTTGCATTAAAATGGCCACCGCCTTTTGGCGACTCAGCACTTTGTCAGAAAAAAGCGGCGATCTAGAGCGGGATCTGTCAAGAAAGAAAGCCTTTTTCGACAGATCCCTTATGCCTCAGGTTTACAGGATCTGTCAAAAAAGGCTTTCTTTCTCGACAGATCCCCCTCTAGACTGCTGCTTTTTGCTGACAAAGTGCTGCGTCGCCAAATTAGGCACGGGATATTTAAATCCTTGCCTCATTTGCAATGTCGATCTGCCTAATCTGCATCCCTCTGCCAACAGATGGATGCAGTCTAGACATCCCCACTTAGACTATTTTCTGGTCTCCACTCAGACTTCTTTTCTCATGAGTAGATGCCCACATTTTTTAAATGGTTCCTCTTATTTTTTTTGCTCTATTCTAGAATCCCTCTGGTTTGTCCACATTATTCTTAAAAGTGTCTTTTATTGTACAAATGGATCCGACTTGCAAAACTGGTGCATGGATTTTCAGTGCACATAACACTACCCCCAACTATTTAATCCAGAATTTTGATTCACCTTGTATCTTGCATTGAGGGCCAACTGTAGATTCCCACCTTCCTTCATGAAGTTCATATGTATTTGTGTCCAAAATCTGGTTTGAGTCTCTTAAGTGATGTGAGGTTTGGGCCCCAGGAACTGGTCACTAGGATGGCGTTTGCCCTTATGGGTTTTGAATGGTGGAAAATGTTTCAACTAATTAATTTCCTCAAGTCAGTTTACTTCTGATGTTTGCGGTCTTTGCTAGAATATACAGATTGAACCTCTTTAGTCCGGCATGCTCTGGTTTGGCAACATCCCTGGTCTGGCATGATTTTAGCTAGCTGGATGTCCACTTTTCATGGGTGTGACCAAGTTTCCTGTGGTCCCATAATGTTTGTTTACAGCCACCAGTACTGGTTCTCAGTCTTCTGTGCTGTCCTTTAGCTCTAATTTACCCCTAAATATCTTCTAAGAGCCTAGTCAGCAGTGGAAGTGTTGGTCATGCTGCTAGTCAATTTGACCTCTTGTGGTCTGGCAAATTCTCTGGTTTGGCACCAGTCAAGTCTCCAGGGTGCTGGACTAGATAGGTTCAGCCTGTACATTTCTTTCCCCTAACCAGGACATTGTGAATTCATTATTGCTTACTGTTCTTCAGCTGAGTAATTTATCTCTTCCTTCAGGTCACAGTTTGTTGGATTATGACCAAGAAACTTTGGGTTTCTCATCAAAAGAAACATTATATAATAAGCTTCTACATGTCCAAGTAGCTATTGCACTCTTTAATGCAATATTTTTCATTAACAGTAGTTTTTGCTTACAGTCTTAACACATTTTTCGGTAATAATTTTTGGGTTTGGTTTACAATTTTGCACTTGACTTGGGTCTTTCTTGGCAGATTTTATCTTGAAAAATGTGTTGCATGCCACAATCAACAGGTATTCATTATTTTGGGTGTAAGACTGTTTCTGGTGGTTGTTTTTAATTCCCTCTTGCGGAATTCACTGAGATCCATAGACAACAGCTAACTTTAGCGGCTTTACCGAGCCAAGACATACTCCTCATCATTCCCTTGAATAGAAGGCTAGTGCACCAATCAAGAGCACCATGGAGCTGTGTTGCAGGGGTATTTCCAAATAAAACATTCCTTTCTGTGCTTTTTTTAATAGCTAGGATATTTACTTAGAATTTTGAATCTTCTGTTGGCCAACTCAATGTTGGCAACCTGAAAAACCTTACTGGAACCCCGTGTTTCTTAGTTTCATTTAGCATGGTCTGATTTACAATATCTAAAGTGCCCAGTTAAAGATGTTCCCTGTTCATGGAAAAAGAACTGACAGCTATAAAGTAAAATTTAAAATATTTTTTTTTTCTCTTTTGAAAAAACTGCATTAGAGGATTGGGTTTGGTCATCGAAGGACTTTAAACAGGTGCGTCAGTGTTTTAAATGTGGCATTCTGTACAGCACATAAGGACTTATCAGTGGGGTTATAGCCCTTAAATGTCTCTCCGTCGTCCTTTTGGGTGGAAATCCATGTCATACTCTAGTTTGTGTTCATGAGGGAAAATAACCAAATCTATTTGGCTTTATCAGGATTTCTCTCACCCGATCAAATTAGAATGTTCTTAGCGCGCGATGGGCAAGATCATCCCAACATGTAAGGAAGTGGATTTAGAGAGAAATATGCCTCTTTACTTCTGGGCCCCTTTTCAAGATTGGCTGTTGGAGTTTGTTTTCATGAGTCTGAACAGTAACAGTCCATGGATACCAGACAGCTTTTCCCTTGCAGTTCTTCCCAGTAATCGTTGGGCCGCTCCGGCCAGTAGTTCAGATGCTACAAATAGGTGAGAGTGTGTTAATGCCGTTGAGCCATAGTGAGCTGTATAATGGATCTGTGATGTTTGCGTACAGATAGTACGTCTCTTACTCAGATGATCTGGCAAAATGCTCTCTCTCCCATTCTCACTCTCGATAAGCTGGTGTGCTCTGTTGTTATTCGCTCTCAAATTCATACCAATGGGTTGTGATCAGATGAAAGTTCTGCTCAGGCTTTTCAAACTGTAGCCATGGTAAATTGGGTGGGGGCGGGGGGGGGCATACATAAAAGCATAATGGCAGTTTTGAATGACTGGGTGTCCTCCTGACATGTAATTAGCTGCTTTAGGAAGATGTAAATTGGCATGGTTGTAATAAAAGGATTTCTGTCCTTTTATGTGGTTGGAAACAGCCAATCTTCCATTCCATTTCCTTTAGGACCAATGCGCTCAACAATGTTTGGAACAGTTATTCGGTAAACAAAAATAATGACCTGTTCCTTATGACGTTGGAGAAAAACTGGGATTTGTTTTCTATGCAAAGCTTCTTTCTCTTTCTTTTTTCCTGACCACGACTGTCTAGCTTCTCACTGCGTTGCAAAAAAACCAACACAAAAACAAAAGACCAACAAAATTATGCAATGGCTTAATTATATTCCATGTTCTGAATGAAGAATCACCAGAAACCCAGAGAACCTCATTTATTTCACACCTTAATGCTGGCATTGTTTTCATCCCGTATCTGTCATTGGAATATCCCGCTTTGATTGTAGTTTGTCCAGCCCCTGGACTAGACAGTCTGTCTAGCTCTTAGCCGCATTTAAGTGTTGTTGTTGTAATATCTCATTCTGGGAATGTTGGCAGCAGTTGTCATCAAGTTTTGAGCTGCATGTCACTTAGACTGTCTGTTGTTGTGGACAGGCCCGCCAGCAGGGGTGGGAAAGGAGGTAAGTGTCCTGGAACCTGGACCGCCAATGCTGTTACTATGGCAGCAGCACTCAGGCCCTTTAAATTGCTGCTGGAGTGCCACATGCTCCAGAGCCCTGCGTGGCGCTCTCCAGATGGCACTGGGGGGAGATGTAGTGCAGGCCCGGGCAGCGCTGAGGGCTGGGTGTCCCTTGGCCCCATCCCTTCCAGGAGCACGGAGCCACACCCCACCACGCAACACACCTTGCCCAGGGGCCCGGCGAATCTGTCGGCTCCCCTGGTTGTGGGTAACCTGGAGAAACGATATGAGTTAGCTTCACATTATACCTCAGCTAGCAACACAGGCCCTACTGTCGAACAGTGCCTCAGCTGTCCTGCACTTGCTGTTCTGCCCTGTGGCAGAGCTGACTACATAGTGGTGGCACAAGCTGATGTCAACGTGGCTGCATAAGCTGTCACTGGATACTGTCAAACTCCTAACAGAAGGTGTGACAAACACTCCCCCGTTGAGCTTTTTTGGAGTTGTGGCATGAGAGACATTATCTAATGGCGGACCCTGAGTACAGCCGAACTGGGTCTATGCTCCACGGACTGGGCATTCAGTCACATTGGACCAGATCTACCAAGGTTCTTAGAGATACAGACCAGAGTCTAAAGGGATTTGCCTAAGAAGCTTAGGCACTCTTGTACATCCCAGTAGACACCTTTCTGTTTTCTTGAGTGCCTAGATACTCTTGTAAATCTGGCTCCTTGTCCAGAGCTGTGCGGAGCAAGCCTTCCTGACGAGATGGCGAAACATCTGTTTCTGCTAGTTCTCCCAGCATCCCCCTCCGGTGGTGCTGGACTGGTAGTAGGAATGGCAGGACTGGTTTTTTGCAGGGGAGGGGATACTAGACTCTAGTGTATACTAGACTTTAGGTATTAATTTTGCTCTGTTGTTTGCTAGACTATTGAGATTCTTTCCTGACTCAAGTCTTCCATACATTCACTTACAAAGTTATCCATTGACTCGTTCAAGCAAAGCAAAAGAGATAATGGAAAATAAGACATTGACTAATCTGCATCCAGTATAGCCCAAAAGGTTCCTGACATTCCATAGGGTGTATTTGACATTCCATAGGGTGCAAATGCTTAATATTTAAGTCTGCCGATATGGTCTACAGCAACGGTAGTGTAAACATCACTGCAGTGCTAGCCAGAGCCAGGGATCTGGAATATCAGCTAGTCAAGGAGTTTTTCCTAAACCAAGGTGTGAGGCCTTTGCATGTTGTGACCATATCATTGAAACCAACCTTGAATCAGGTTTTCTTGAGTACATTTTGAGTTGCCTTCTTTTTAAGACGTATGTTTTCTCCAAGTGCAGAGTAGTAGCTAGGTTGGTTTACGTTACAGATAGCAATGGATGTAATGGGACAAATTTCAATGGAGCTGCTCTGGATTTTCTCTGGCAAAATAAAAATTTGGCCTGGATGCTGCCAAAGTCCAGCTACCTTAGAGTATTAAACCATTAAAAGAGAAGGGGGAAAGACTGAATCCGACATGCACTAAATGTCCAACTCCATCATCTTCAGAAGTGCATGACAGACACAGCCCGGAGGGGTTACTGGATTTTGGTCGTTTCAGTATATGGCGAAATCAATTCTAGTCTGCTATTAGCCAACAAACCCAGTTTTTTTAACGTTGTTAGTCAATAACCATTTTTCTGCTGCTTTAGTTTTGATGC